TTGATTCTTTTTATTTTCTTTTTCTACGTCGTGTCTCGTTTGAAAAAAAAAAAAAGAAAAAAAAAAAATTGTATAATAAATTGGCCTTGGGCTCTGATGAATCAAGGTTAAATATTCTTGTCTCTGAATCGTCTTTAAAAGTAATCTTATTCGTTGATATAATAGATATACATACCGCATTGAGAATATAGAAGAAAATATAATGATGACTCACGAATGTGAATCGTTTTATCCATGATCGACTAAACTATTACTATCATCCGATATTGTTCTTATATATATATATATATATATATATATATATATAGTATGTATGAGAGTGAGAAAGAGAGAGAAAAAGAGAACGAGAAAGAAATATTGTAGATATAGCGATAAATGAAACTGATGTGAGTTTTTAAATATACTCCTGACGTCACAGATTTATGTTCGACAATGATTTTTAATTGTGTTCTTGTGCGCGCACGGAATTTCTCATTCGTCGAATTTTGTCCTTTTTCTTATTATTTAGAATTATATTAATCATTATACATTTTTTTTCTCATGCGTTATATTTTTGTTTAAAACGAAATTTTGATCTGGTTGCTTAACGTAAAAATAAGTCATTGACATTTCGAATTTGATTTGTACTTTTTAATATATATTATATGTATTAAATTAGAATTATTAGATTTAACCTTTGCTATATATAAATATACAATCGAATATTTTATTTCTCTTTGTTAATTTTTAATAGGCGCGTTATTAACATCGAATAAGTATTTTAAACAAATTATGTTTATGCATTAGAATAATTAGATATTAATCGACTCCCGAATTTAATTATTCATTATTACGTATTAGGAATTATAGAAAAGTAATATCCTTTTTTTTTTTTACTAATTAATTTACATTTCAACGTGTGTTAACATATTATTTGTTTGCTACTCGTGAAATATTTATTAGGATTTGCATGCATAATACGTTGCAATATAACTTTCTTTATCCTATAACTATTAAATTTATATATTATATAATTATTATATATTATATAATATTCATATAGTAAATATATTTTCCTTTACGATACTATAAAATTCCAATATCATAATTTTCTTCGACAGATATTTTTTTATGACACCCATTATCGTTCATTTATTTTATTATAATTTTTGTTTTTAAATATAAGTAATGATAATTCGAAATGAATAATATAAGTGAACTTACCATCGGGTAAGAAAATGTTTAGAAACAAACAATCCTCGCTCATACCAGGATCAGGTTGGTCAGGTGGTAGTAATCGTGCATAAAGCTTCTCATGCAGTTTCAAACGATTTGATACTTGCTGACATGATGGACCATATTCACTGGCGTTTCGTATTCCATTCCAGGATGGAAGAGGATCCGTTACTGGTACGGAGAAACGTAATTGTCCTATCGGAGGTTGAGCATAAGGTATGCCAAGGTATTGTATCACCTTTTGACCTCTACCTATGATCACCTGAATGAATTAAGATCAACACCATATCGTTTCGTTAGATTACATTCCCTTTTTTTACTTTTATTTCTACGACGATGATATAAAAATAAAATTTCACGTGTTTTCTTGTTCACCTTTTCATCGGGGATATATTACTTTTTTCTTTTTTTTTTTTTTTCTTTTAATTCAACAAAAATCTATGTCATATCCCATATATATATGTTCTAATAATTATGATTTCTTAAAAAAAAATATACATAGAAAATAAATTATATGTTCGGTTAATTGTAAAAATGTGATAAATAAATTGTAAATGGAACACGGACCTTTCATAAATCCATAAAAATGTGAATAATACATAAAATCGTAACAATATAAAAGTTAGGCCAAAAGATTATTAAGAAAAAAATATTTTTAGTTGAAAGAAAATAATCGCAACGTTGAAATTCAGATGGCAGTCTTGATTATGCGACTTCTACTCGCGATTCGAGTTGAATTTGCGTAGTCGTTAATTTTGTATTTAAATTTCGTATCAATGATCTTTAAAAAATTGTGAATAATTATTTCGTGTATATAAAATTTAACTTCTCCTTTTTTTAATCATCATTTACATTCTTCCCAATATGTATCATCGTTAAAAGTATCATCGTTTTTCTGACTCATCGTCTATCTTCGCGAATCTATACACACACACACACACACACACACACATGTACATTCACATACACGTATATAGATTTGAACATTAGTCAAGCTTATGCGTCGAAATTCTAAGTATGAAAAGAATTGAAGAATGAAATAGGGGAATTGTTTCTCGTTCCATTATATATAAGAAAACTGGGAATATCGTTTATAAACGATTATGGTTAGGATCTGAAAGGATAATTGATTACTTTAGACAGGAAAAACATTTCTTCATTTATTTGTAAAGAGAAATGGAACGATTTGGAAATAAATATGTGGGAAAAAAGAGGAATATCCATCTCATTAATTTTCAAATAACATAAAATGTTCGCACGTGTTCCTATTTAAATGTAAATTTAAACACGGGGGGTTCCTTTATATAAAGAGGGTGAGAATATTTAATCTGAAAACACTTTGGTTAAACTTTCAAACGGAAAATGAATTTCAAATTGGAATACACGAATCGCGCAGTTAGTTGATCAGTTTCGTAACATTTAAAAGCTCTTTCTTTTTTTTTCTTTTGTTTCATTTTAAATAAATTCATCTGAGAGATAAGAAATATTGAAGTTTACCGATGATGGGAGATTTGTGATTAATATCGGAACACAATATATTATTTCGAATACATTCAAATATAACTTATTTATATTTCAATAAAGAAACAAAGTCGGATAAAATAAGTTACAATGCTGTATTGAAGAGAAAATATTCCACGATAGTGATTGGAATAACAAATGTTTCATAAATCCATCGTTAAGACAATATTTCATTAACTAAATTATTACAAAACCAAAAGAAATACAATAATAATAATAATAATAATAATAAAGTAGTACCTCTTTGCCAGCAAGTATTCCTTGATTAGGTATCCTGACAGTGGGTGGATCACGAGCTAGACCTTGTCGTGCGTAAGTATTTTGACTATAACTGAAGGAAATCCTATCGAGAAGGATGCAGATATAAACGACGCGTTGAATGAAAATTAATAGGATTAAACAAGGACCTTTCATTTTGTTCCTTTCTTTCTTTTTGAACAAATGAAAATAAAGAATTTGTTAAGACCCCTCCCCTTTTCTTTTTCTCTTTTTAAAATATATAACTTCGATAAATTTCAAAGAGGTATTATTTTTTCCCAAAGGTTTTTCCTTTTGTTACTGCTAAGCTACACTGCAGAATGATAAAGTTCGCGTGACTACATTCACCTTCCACAACTTACTCTACGTTCCGCTCATAAACGACGCGGTACGGAACCTGAGACTTGCGCTCTTTGACCTCACTTTCCTAACTTTCCTGGCTAACCCCTATTGTTCAACCCCCTTTTTTATCCTTTACTCCCCTTCCCGAGCCAACTTTGTTAACCATTTTCGTCGAATTCCGATTTACGTCAACGTTATACCACGTTTTTCGCGGGTACTTTCGGGAGACCAGATCATTATTGATAAAAATAACCCCCGGTATATTTTTTGACTTTTCCGACTTTACCGACATACAATCGGTAATTAAAATTATAAAAAACTATAACGCTACCGTAGAAACGCTGGCCGGACACCTTACCAGCAGAAAAAAATTAATAAGTGCTTTTAATTACTCACTATTTGCTCAACTTTAATTTTATCAAATATTTTTTATTTATCGTTAATTAGTTGAAATTGATTATTATATTTTGAATAATTATAAAATGGCAAAGTCATAAGTGGGAGATATGTTATACACATGCAGAAGCACAAATTCAAGGCGCAAGCGCACTTTGAAAACAATGAAATTACCCTGCAGGGGACAATTTAAAGTTTATTTCCAAAGTAACAACGTATAGGGTAGTGAAAAGAAATAAGTTAATTGTTCATAATGTATACTACATAATAGGTAAATATATTCATTTTTTTCTGCTGTTGCGGTTCTATGCCAACTTTCTTGTGATGAAGTATATAGAAACTCACAAGTCCCTTTTTTTTATCTATCCAGCATCATATTTTATTATATTACTTTTTTGCTCGTCATTAATTTGTAGTTGTAATTGGAGATGATGGACCATTCCATCTCCTTCGGACACCAAATTCGTGTCTATATCGTCCAATAGATGCATGTGTGTTAGTTAGAGTGAAAAATATTAAAATTTTCGTAATATTAAATTTTAAAGCTTAAATAACTTTCGGTAAATATTACGGTAATTTCTTGTTTCATGTTCCGTCTTTAAAATTTGTCATTTTTATCGTATTTTATTAAATTTGCAATTTGTTTCTTTTCTATATAATTCAGCTTAAAAGTATTTCATAATATTTAATAGATATTATTTTTTGTAGTAACTTTTAATATTTGTACTTTTCCTATTTCTTTATTTTTATATATTTTATGTAAATGTAAAATCACGCGTATAAATTTAATTTCATTACAACGGTAAATAGAGATTTGATAAAAATAAATAAAAAATGCAGTTGAAAAGTGCATCTCTGCGAACTGGACGATTTGTATGTTAGGCTATTCTATCACTTTTGATTGTATGATTAATATAGTTTTCTTTTTGTTATAGGTAATCATCGTTGGATTTATCATCTACTCCTTTTGATTTTCTTCTACTTGTTAAAATATATATGTATAAAAAACGCATTTCTGAAGGCACACACACATGTTTATACATTAAAAATTTAATATATTTATTTAAAATGTTATTATACACTTATTATGAATAGTGTATTCTTTGACAGTATCGTACCGTTATCGCGTTAAGTATTATATCTACTATCGTCCAATGGGGTGGTCCCAGTGGTAACAAAAATGATGCTGGATAGGTAAAAAATGGGACTTGTGAGTTTCCATATACTTCACCACAAGAAAGTTGGCATAGAACCGCAACAGCAGAAAAAAATGAATATATTTACCTATTATATAGTATACATTATGAACAATTAACCTATTTCTTTTCACTACCCTATACGTTGTTACTTTGGAAATAAACTTTAAATTGTCCCCTGCAGGGTAATTTCGTTTTTTTTCAAAGTGCGCTTGCGCCTTGAATTTGTGCTTCTGCATGTGTATAACATATCTCCCACTTATGACATCGCCATTTCATAATTATTCAAAATATAATAATCATTTTCAACTAATTAACGATAAATAAAAAATATTTGATTAATTACAGTTGAGCATATAGTGAGTAATTAAAAACACTTATTCATTTTTTTCTGCTGGAAAGGTATCCGGCTAGCGTTTTTACGGTAGCCTTATAGTTGTTTATAATTTTCATTACCGATCGTTTGTCGGTAAAGTCGGAAACGTTAATAAGGTTAGTAAGGTAGGTTCTATTTTTGATAAATTTATTGATTGAAGATAAGATTTTTCATTCATGTGTATTATCAGATTTTTTTTCTTACCTACAGTAGATACACATAATATGTAGTTCGTATTTCGTATCGTAATTATGTATTATGTAAATTAGAACGAGGATTAATTTTAATTACACATAGAAGGGTACAAAAAATTGATCGAAGAAGAAAATAATATTTATTTTTTGGTTTGTGTGTGTAAAATCGCTGGTGCTGGGGAATATCGTAAAAGTATAATCTTAAATATAAGATGAAACGATTTTACATTAAATATTAACGAATGAATTAACGCAGTTTGGTACATTATTTGATTAGGGAGTCGTGTAGAAATGATTATTACATTTGTACAAACTTTGATATTAATTTTTCCATTGTGTACAGAGAATAGTAATTTCAACCCCATAATTTAAACATATTTATATATATAACATATAACATATCTAAACGTTTAAATATATTCGCAGAGATGAATGAGAGAGCCACCGATAATGTTAAATTTTCATTATGTTAATTATATCGCATTGCATAACGTACACATACGTTTATGTTCTAAAAATAATACGTACATATATACGCTGATTACTCATTCACATAATAAATTCAGAACGTTGACACGTATATGTATGAATGGTAACACACACACACACACACATATATATATATATATATATATATAGGTATGCATATTATATTCAATTAAAATATTTATTATATATAACTGTTTATTGATTTAAGTTACACACAGTAATATATGCGTATCTGTTTATTTACACATGTATCATGTTATATAATATAATCTAATTCAGAGATAAATATAATTTGAAAAATATGATTTATACAATAATAGGATTTTTGAATTCGCGATTAAAGTATTTTTGTTATATTTATTATTTTCAATTAATTTATTATTATTATTCTGTAATTATATATAATAAGGACGTGAAATAATTGTGGACTTATGTTAATAGTATTATAAATACTATGGGTGTGGAAATATAAATGTTCTTAACGTTTGTCGCACGAACCATCCAAAAAAATTGGAATAAAAAAGAGAGAAAAAAAGTGAATAGTAAAAATTTGAGGACCAGAAAATAAATGTTCGTTCTGGAATCTTTTTTTTCTTTTTTTCCACGCTCTCACTTTCTCTCTCTCTCTCTTTCGTTCTCGCGTAAAGTAAAAACCTAGTAAAATATAAAATATGATATGCCATTCTAGAGAAGAGAATACATATTTATATTTCTTATTTTTTTTTTTTTTTTCTTTCCCCCCCTCCCCCCGTATGTTTGCCCGAGTACGCGTGTAATTTTTGTTTCCCTTTCAACATTCTTTTTTCTTTTTTCTTTTCTTAGTTTCTTGTTTCTTTTCTTTCTCGTTGGTCGAACCAGAGGATAGAAACCAATGAAGACGACGACGACGACGACGACGACGATTCGAGCCATTAAATTGCAAATTTATCGAACGAAAATTGAGTTCTGGCATAGATATACACGATGTCTCTTTTTTTTTTCTTTTTCATTTTTCTGTAGAAAAAAAATTTGGAATATTTCGCGAGGGACTGATGCGATCGAACAAAAGAAAAACAAAAAAGAAACGTGGTAAATTTTTTTGTCGACTGACTCCCTTTCTTTTTGGTTTTTTTTTTTTTTTATTATTCATATTACAAATTCGTGCGACACAAAAGAGAATATCGAATAATGGGGTGCAAATGTTTTCTCGTTTCTTTTTTTCCATCTTTTGGCATAGCACTTCGACGAACAGTCGAACGAAAATTTCGACTTAAAAGTTTCTTTTTTTTCTTTTTTTTCTTTTGCGATCGAATAATATTCCTGTCACGGATTTTTTTTCTTTTTTTTTTTTTTTTTAATCGAGAAACGACTCGTTCTTTAAAACGGATCGATATTTTTTGTTTATCGTTCGATTAGAAAATTAAATCGAATGTATTATTTTAATTGCAAAAAAAAAAAAGAAAAAAAAAAGAAAAAGAAAATTATAGAAACAAATCGAACGATCATCACGAAGTTGTCTCATTTTTTTTGGGGTTTTTGTTTTAAATCGAATAAAAATACGAAATCGTGTTGATAAACGTCATTATCAATGGGCAAATATAAATTTGTTAATAGAATTAGAAAGAGAGAGAGAGAGAGAGATTGCTATGAGAGGAAAGAGAAAGAAAGATAGTAGAAAATACGCGAATGGGTTTAAGGAAAATGGCAATATTGTGTGAGAAGGTGAAGTTCGGGGCGTGTTGTTGTTCATCATCCACCAGCGTATAAAATCAAACTCCTTGTTGTGTTGTGTAGAAACTGCTATTATACTTTTACGGCCATTATCGAGATGAAAGATATGATGCAACGCAACGAACTATTTTTTTATTTTTTGTTTTTCTGTATAAAAAAATATGAGTAAAAAGAAACCCTTCAGCTTCATGGGTCGTCGAGATTAAAACGAGCATATTGTTTGATGTTACGAACGATTCAATTTAACAAGAGTTAAAACGAACGAACAATATATTATAATGATAATAAATAATAATAATAATAATAATAATAATAATAATAAGAAGAAGAAAAAAGAAATACAGCAGACCCATTGGTCGATTTAATTTGTCATTTATTTGATCAAAAATTGAATCGGAAAAAAATCAAATATGTAATTCTCAACCGGTCGAATATTTTTCCTCCTTTTTTTTTTTTTTTTTTCTCTTATCCTCTTGATATTTCTCTATTTTTCTTTTTTTCTATAGGGAATACGCAAAACAAACATACGCGATCGAGTGATACGTCAATTAGCGTAATGAATAAATGAAAAGAAAAACTTTATTCCTGGGATTAATGTTTGTTTAGAAAAAAAAGATTCGTTATTAAAAATAAAAAATGGTTACGTTTTTTCGTGTTCGATAAATTGTAGGGGGAAAAAAAAAAAAAAAAAAAAAGGAAAAGACAAAATGGAATCGA